TTCTGTCTAGATTTTCTTTTTTTTTTTTTTTTTTTTGGTGTTTTAACAGTTTATTTTGAAGGTCTTTTCAAAAACAAAGTAAAAGACAATCTGAGAAAAAATGGCACAGATGATACTCATTAAATAAGTATGGTGATTAAATCAGACAAGGGGATATGTTCTCTTCTGCAACTTCAGAAGAGAGTTCTGTGGTCCTGAAGGTTCCAGAGGGGGGAGGGGAATCATGGCAATTAAAGCTGCCTCGTAATCATGTACATCTACAGTAGCAACCAAATGTTTCTTTTCTTCCCAAGTAATCAATTTCGATCTTCAAACTGTGCCTTATTTTTTAAAAGATAAGATGCTAGAAACTCAATGGGATTTGGCGGTCCAGAGGTCCTGAATTCACTTCCCAGCACCCACATGGTGGCTCACAACCACCTGTAATAAGATCTTGTGCCCTCTTCTGGCCTGCAGGGACACATGCAGGCAGAATACTGTATACATAATAAATAAATCTTTCCTTTGCAAGCACAGCAAGACCCTGTAATAAGATAGGCACAACTGTCTGATCCAGGTAGGCACGGGTTGGCAAAGACTGTAGATCCACCTTCTGTTTTGATGACTTCTCTGCATTAATCTTCTCATTTTCAACTATCCTCTCAACGTTGTCTGTGAGACCGTACTCAGAGTGAGGGTTTTCTGCAACCTGCGTCTGTCCCTCCAGCATCTGCTCTGACTCCATGGCAGACCCTGCAAACCGCAGTCAACCAGATACCAGTCCGCGCCAAGGCTGTCGGTTCCTAAGTCCAGTTTCTTTTCTATTGCTGTGATAAAGCAGCACGGACAAGGAGACTTATAGAATGAGGAATTTGTTTGGGTTTACTGTTCCAGAAGGTTAGAATCTAGGCAGGGCAGCTAGACCAGGAAGCTGAGAGCGTGTATCTTGAGCCACAGGCAGTAAGAAGAGAGCAAATGAGTCTTCAAACTGCCTCCAACAAGGCCATAGCTGCTAAACCTCCTAAACAGTGACATCCATTGGGGACCCTGTGTTAAAATGCCTGATACTACTGGAGACAATTCTCGTTCAAACTGTCACATTATCAAAGGACACAGGAGTTCTGTAGTGAACCATCTCTGAGTCTTCAGGAAACTTGAAGAATAAGAACTGAGGAACTGGAGAACACAGGAAGTCAACATTTTCCAGGACTGGTTGTCAGATACGCCTTTAATCCCAGCACTTGGGAGGCACAAGCAATTGGATCTCTGTGAATCTGAGGCCAGTGTGGCTACATAATGAGCCTTTGTCTCAAACAAACAAAACAACAACACTAAAGTGCTTCTTGCACAAACAAACAAAAACATCAACTTTGGGGCTAGAGCTGCAGCTTAGTTGGTAGCATGCCTAACCCTAATACACGTCAGACTCCGTGCTGCGTACATTGAACTTAGTGGTCTGTGCATACCATCTCAGCACTTGGGAGGGAGGCAGGACTGCGGCAGGTTTGAGGCCAATTTGGTCTACCCTGTGAGTCCTCGATGGTCAGAGCTATGTAGCAAGCTCCTGACTCAAAAAAGGGGAAAAAACTTCCAACAACTTTAATGCTTAATTCTATCCAGCACATAATGTTACAGCCTGCTTCAAGCTCAGAACAGGAAATAGCTGGTCTTTATAATTCGAGTTTTACATATCCTAAATCTAGCAGCCAGCAGGAAGGAATCATCGAATCATCGCATCATATGGGTGGGTGCAGTTACACCTGCTTTCCTTTCCTTTCAAAAGACACTGCTGGCTGTTGCTAGTCGCACCCCACATTCTTATTTCTGACGAGAAAAAAGGTAAGTGTACTGACGAGGTAAGCATCATGCTCTATCCAGATGGTATGTCTCTCTCACGGAGTTCTGGAGGACAACAAAATGTACTGGGAACTGCCATTTTTTAATGTAACATTAGACTATGTCATGAGATGAGGTGACACAGTCTAATGCATTCTCATATACACAGGTAGACTATTAAAAAAGTTTCTTGACACAGTTTCATGTTGCCCAGGGGTGCCCTGTGAATCCTGATACTCCTACCTCAAGTTCTGAGATTACAAGTGCTGGGAACCAACCTCAGTGTGTTCGTTTTTTTTTAAAGATAAGGTTTTGTTCGTTCTGCAGTCCTGACTGACCTGGAGCTGGCCCTCTTCCTGTCTACCTCGTAAGTGCTGAGTATATAGAAGGTACCACCTGGCCTGTCTTCATTTTTTTTTTTTTTCCTTTTTGGAGAGAGTGCCTCTTTATGTAGCCCAGGATAGCTTGAACTGAACAGGCATGCGCTAAAGCTACTCATCTTAAATATACTTTTTTATTTTTGCAAAAGGGTCTCTGTTTTGCATAGCTCATGCTGGCCTGTAGCTTGCCTGGATCTTCCTGCCTCTATCTGCTCAGTGTTGAGATTACCACGACAGCTTTAAGATGTACATTTTACACCAAGCCCATAAGGAAAAAAGTAGACTCTAGAAGCGTATGCAGTTTTAACAGAAGTCAAAAACACCCTCTTCTGGGTCCTCAACATCAGTCTTAGGTCTAGACTGGGTCACTTACAATGTGATGGTCAAACGACAATAATGTTAATAGTAACATGATAGCTGTTATTGATTGGGTGCAATCAGTGTATGTCAGGCAACCTGACAAGTAATTTATGTATTTCATCTCCAAAACGCTTTCCCGAGGTAGGTGGACATTTTAAACAATTTTAATTTATGTATGCCCGTGCCTGAGTGCAGACACGACATACGTTTGGAGGTCAGGTGACAACTGGGAGATAACACTCTTTCCTTCCACTCTGTGGATGCCGGGGTCCAGCTCGGGTCGCCAAGAGCAGTAAGCGCCACTGAGCCATCTTGTCTGCTCAGAGTAGGAATTTGATTCCCATTTTTTTAGAGGAGTAAACTAAGTTTCGGAGTAGTTACTGGCAGTTCCCGGCAGATCCGAGGCTAGGATCATTTCTAAGTTTGCCACCCGGAGATGCCGCAAAGACCGGGAAACAGCTCACAGACTGAAAAAGAACTCGGCCACCCCTGCAGACACTAAGGAGAGGTAGGACACCCCGGCTACGCGCAGAAACGGGAAGAGAGAGGGAGACGGAACCGGAAACCGGAGTATAGCTTCCGGCTGCGCGCAGGAAGCGGCCCTTCCAGCGCAGCTCGCGGAGGCGCTGTGCAGTCTGTCCCCCGCACGCGCACGTGGTGCCCGCGTCCCGCTCCCCAGCGCCTGCCGCGAAGATGTCGCACCCATCCCCGACAGCCAAGCCCTCCAACCCCAAGAACCCGCGGGTCTTCTTTGACGTGGACATCGGCGGGGAGCGAGGTGAGCGGCGCGGCCGGCTCCGCGGCCCCCGCGTCTGGGGCCTCCGGGCTGCGGTTCTGCTTGGCCCGCTGACGGTCCGGCGGCTCGGGGCCTGGGGTCGGGAGGGAGATAGCAGCCTCGACCCTACCCGGACCAAGATCTGGGCTCCACGAGCCCCGGTTGAGCCTGCTCCCTTGTAGGCGATGCCTTCGTCCCCGGAAGTTTCTGGAAATTTCTGCTTCAGGAATTGTGGGGGCCCTTAACGTTTGTCTCTTGATTTGGTCGCACTTACCTGCAATCTTTGCGCCACCATTTATGATAAAAATGAAATGATTTGACGATTGTGGTGCATAGTCCGGGGTGCCCTCGGGATATCTGCCTGCAAGGCTCTAGTCACTCCATAGGACTCTTGGCCCACGAAATAACATCGGGAGCTGCGGTGTGGTTTACAAATTAAAGTGACTTGCTTAGTGCTTTTTCCTCATACCCGATTGTAGCAGCAGTTTAGGTAGGCGGTCATTTCTGCTATTTTGGCATCATGGAATTGAGTGCCACGGGGGCTGCATATCAGATATTTACATTACGATTCATAACAGTAGCAAAATTACAGGTTTGAAGTAGCAACGAAATAGTCTTATAGTTGGGGTTACCACAACCCTAGGAACTGTATTAAACGGTCGCAGCATTGGGAAGGTTGTGAACCGCTGTCCTGAGCCCTTGAGAATCAGGTCGGGGGATGTGTTACTTTGTAACTGAATTGGGCGTGTTTTGAAACACATTATAGAGTTGCTGGCCAGACATACTAGGACCAGAACACAAATTTAAGTGTGCATTCACTTTATTTTGGAACTAAGGTTTTATTGTTACTGCCTTTTGGGTCATTGAAAGTCGAACTGCAGTAAGCAGTTTTCACAGAGCACGGAGAACTGCTAAGGTATAAAAAAGCCCAGGCAACCCGATCATTCCTGTACTATTTGTCTTCTGTGGGTTACATGGCGATTAGAAATTCTTAATACAGGGCTGCTGAGATAGCGCAGCAGGAGAAGGTGTCTACCACCTTTGACTTCTGGAAGTTGTACCCTGACCTCCACACATAGAATAAATATTTTTATTTATTTTTTTAAAAGCCTGAATATAAGTTAAATGATTCAAGATTTTAAACCATTTGTACTCATGGTATCCTTTCTATGCTACTAATCAGCTGGAATTAGTTATAATCTGTGTGGTGTTCAAATTTAGTTGTATGAAGCTTCCCTTAGACTAAACAGGAATGTTAGAAAAATGTCACTAAGATCTAACAGCTCCATTTTGGGGCTTATATCCAAGGGAAATGAAGTTTGTATGCACACCTGTGTCATTGCAGCCTGATTCTTAGCCAAGAAACAGCACCAGTCTAATGTCTGTCCAAGCATGACTCTTACACTGTGCTGTATAGATAGTAGACTACAACACTGCCGTTTAAGAGAAGGAACTCTTATTTACGACTGCGTAGATGAATCTAGAGAATATTGTACTGAGTGAAATAAGTGCTGCAGGATCTCACTTTCTTGGAATCTTAAAAAAGTTGAACTCAGCAGTAGTATGAAGGTACCACTGACGGGAGATGTCAGTCAAAGGATGCATAATTCTTGTAAAGAGAGGTAAGCTCAAAAGTTCTGTTACGCAACATTGTGGCTAGAGTTAACATAAGTTGTTAAAAGAGAACTAAATGACTCATTGAACGATGTATTAACCACTGGTTAGGCATACTAGTTATCCCCTTTTTGTTTACCCATTTAGTTACTTTGCACAGTGACATGATTCCCTTTTCTTTTCTTTCAGTTGGCAGAATTGTTTTAGAATTATTTGCGGATATTGTGCCCAAAACTGCAGAAAATTTTCGTGCATTGTGTACAGGAGAAAAAGGCACTGGATCCACAACTGGGAAACCTCTCCATTTTAAAGGATGCCCCTTTCACCGAAGTATGTGTCTAAACTTCCTTTGTCTGATAATCTTGATACAGAAATCAGTCCTGCTCTTAGGAGCTGAAGAAGAATATAAAGCTAGGTGAAAGGTCTAACAACTCAGTTTCTTGAAGGATACTTGGATACAGGTGATAGCTCAGTATCAAAGGCTCGGCTGTGAGCAGTGGGATTGATTGTGGGAGCATACCAAAGTTTATCTGCTGGGAAATGGACAATCTGACCTCACCAGTCTTCTGACTCGCTCTTCAAACCATTTCATTGGGAAAGAAAAAGCATGACAGATAAATAAGCTGACCTTAGGTCGTTTTACAGCCTGGGCAGAATTGTTTGAGAAGTCTGACTATTCAATGTTTTGGACATCCTGATAATATGTGATGAAACTCTGATTTCACACAGATTATTTGACTGCTGTCCCAGTAGTTTTTAGGTTCAGTAATCATAAGTTCAGGAGCTGCATGCTCTCACCATTTTATTCTTACATCTAATAAAAGTCTAAGTGAACAGTAAATACTTATGAATAAATACGTTACAGTATCAGTAATTTTCATGTATTGCAGGGGATTGAATCCAGCGTATTGCTATACCCCTGATTCACACACCTACTCCAGTAGTTGGATTTTCTTTTTTTTTTTTTTTAAAGGAAAACCCAGATTATTTTTTTTAAGATTTATTTATTTATTGTGTATACAATATTCTGCCTGCATATATCCCTGCAGGCCAGAAGAGGGTGCCAGATGTCATTACAGATGGTTATGAGCCACCATGTGATTGCTGGGAATTGAACTCAGGACCTTTGGAAGAGCAAGCAGTGCTCTTAACCTCTGAGCCATCTCTCCAGCCCTCGATTTTCTTAAAAACACTGTTTATTAAGAAAAATGAACGTTGGTTTTTAAATGTTTTAAATTGGTTTACTTTCATATTTAATAAGAAAATAGTTAACATAGTAGATTTAAAACTTCTTTCAGCCGGGTGGTGGTGGCGCACGCCTTTAATCCCAGCATTTGGGGAGGCAGAGGCAGGCGGATCTCTGGGAGTTCGAGATCCAGGAAAGGCGCAAAGCTACACAAAGAAACCCTGTCTTGAAAAACAAAAAGCAAACAAACAAACAAAAAAAACTTTCAAAATGCAGTTGGCTAGAGTTGGGAACTTGACATTTGAACCATTCCTTAAATCACAAAGTTGATAATTAGGCCTACACTATTTTTGCAAATGTAATTGATAAGAAACATATGCTTTTTAGTCTTGAATTTTGGGACATGTTAGGCAGAAAATACTTTTATGATAATGCCCCAGGAAATATTTTGGGTGCTAGGGTTTTGCTTGTACTTCTTGGATTGAATTATTGCAGGCCTTTTTGCATTTTTTGTTGCTAGGAGAAATGTAAATCCTATAACTATTATGAGAGGGAGAAGTCCAAAGAAGCAGGACATGGATACCTCCTAACTTGATGCTACTTTTTCTCATGGCTAGTTATGTGTGTTAATTACTACAGTGTAGCCAAATGCTGAGTACTGTGAACCTAGGGTTCTCTGAGCATGGGGTGGTTTCAATCCATTGTTATTAAGTATACAGAAATCTCTGGCATGATTCCTAGCATATGTGTGTTTCTGGGCTCAATCCTCATTGTTCAACACTAATAGGAATAGTGTTTATTTAGCTGGCATTATTGAGCAAGTATGTACATAGTTTCAAGGTGTAAAATGCTATTTAAGCAATTCGTTGTTGGAAGGGGACAGATTAATACATGTTATAAAATGGAAGTAGAGTTAGTATAATGATAGAAACTAGGTTTACCTTTGTGTTTCATTGAGAATTTTATAGGGAGGTACTTTTGAATTAGTTCAAAGAGCTAATTTCTTGGGAGCTGGTGGGTAATAAAGAGTTTGTTAGAGTTAGGTTGTGAGAAATCTTACGAGTAGAAGCTGGAAGGAAGCAGGGGAGAAAGGCCAGGTACACCACTAAAGTTGTGCTTAGGAGGTTGTCTTTTCTTACTCCTTAATTAGTAAGCATTGCTGAAATCTTCTGTTGTAGTTGATAGTAGCCATATTCCTTTTTTGCAGTTATTAAGAAGTTTATGATTCAGGGTGGAGACTTCTCAAATCAAAATGGGACTGGTGGAGAAAGTATATATGGTGAAAAATTTGAAGATGAAAATTTTCATTATAAGGTAAAGAAAAATTCTTGCTTTTGCTAATATAAAGATTATGTATTTGAAATATACTTGAATTAAGACACCAAAAAAAAATTACCTTCTGAGTGTGACCAGATTGCTGTCTTCTTCCCCTTCCTCCCTTCCTCCTTCTGGTACTAGGGCCTTCTATGACAGACCAGTGCTCCCTCGCTCAGCTACCTTTCCTCCCATTTCCCATGTTGAGACTGGGTCTTGCCTAGTTGCTCAGGATAGCCTTAAACTGTAGCCCAGGCAGGCCTTGAACTCCCAGTCCTTTTACTTACCCTCTTTAGGAGCTGGGATTATAAACCCGAGTTAGCAGGCCTGGTGTGGATTATGCTTTTCTAAGAAAAGAAATCATATTCATAAATAAACATTTCTAAGGGCGTGTGGTGCTGGGCATGAATGAGCTCAGGGTCTTGTGCATGCTAGGCAAGTTCTCTACCACTTGAGCTACATCCCAGTTCAGTATGCATCTTTAATATGGGAAGGATTTATCCAGTAACAGTTTTCTTTTTTGAGACAGGGTTTTACTGTGTAATCCAGGGTGGTCTTGAATTTACCATCCTCCTGTATTGCCTCCTGAGTGTTGGAATGAGATAAACTTTACCATACTTGGCCAGGATGATATTTTGGCGAAAATACAGTACTTATTTCACTGCAGTCAGTTTTTATATGCTTCAGTTAAGCCAATGAGTTTTTAAGCTGCCATATGGCAAAATTGATCCCAGGAAAAAATGTTCTCATTATTGTAAGGATGGTAACTTGTGCATCTTTATCCTTGAATTTGAAGAACAACAAAACCATCGCTAATATCCAGGATGTCAGGGGATTTTCCACCTAGCGGATATGGTTAATGTTCGGGGTGTATTGCACCATTCCCGTTTTAAGAACAGACATGTAAGTATAAAAGTAAAGTGATGTCTTTGGAAATGAGGAATATAAGCAAGGTAATTAGGGTGACTTGGAAAGAGAATTTCTGTTGCTCAGTTCTGTCACTGCACCAAAGAGCTTATGAAAAATGAGAGGCTATTTATTATCTTACCTCAGAGTCAGGATTAAAATACAAGGGACAGTGGAGGATAATAATACATAATATGCTTGTAAATGCTAAGTAGATTAAACATATTTGTTGTATAATTTTGATAGAAGTTGACTGCCCCTTATATGAAATGCTTTATTCTAGAAATATTTCAGATTTATTTGCATAGATTTTATAGGTTGAGCATCCCTAATCTGATATCTGAAAGTTGTTGCTCAAAAGTTTCAGATTTTGTAACATGTCTGACTTTGGTTTTTAGATTAAGGAAGTTCAACCTTTAGGATGGAACTTGCTGTGTAGACCAGGCTGGCCTTGAGCTTACAGAGATCTGTCTCTGCCTCCTGAATGCTGGGATTAAAAGCATGTGGAGCTACATTTAGCCATGTAATAGGAGAAAGATTGAGATCAAGTTAGTAGGAGAGACACTAAGAGGTTTGGTCACTTAAGCTAGGTAAAGTGGGTCTGCAGGTGGCTGAAACTGTGCTAGTCTGGGCCTGAAATACAGACTTCAGATTGACAGTGAGGACAGCAACAGGGAAGGGCAGTGGAATCCCAGAGAAAACAAGCTTAACTATGTGGTGAACAGTTAAAGGGAGGCACCAAACAAAGCTGTCAGAGGAATAACTGAGGTATTTCTGACCATTGCATTGATTAAAAGAAAGGAGGCCTAAGGAAAAGACGACTTGGCTGTGCCATTGCGAAAATCAGTGACCTTGAAGGCTGATTTAGATTTACATTGATGAGGTATCTTAGGTGTGGGGAAAGTAACCTGAGAGTTATGAGGCATGCACTAGAGGTATGCATTCAGAAAGGCTATTCTATCTATGCAAAGTAGAAAAGCAAGCTGTCTTGTCCTTGAACGTAGTAGTTGCAAGATACACCTTTGCATCTTCTTCAGAGTTGTTCATTTACCAGAATGAAAGCCATAAGATTGGAATTGTTTTCCAAATTAGGGAAGTACTTATCTGAATAAACTTGTCTAAATTCAATACTACATTACTGATCTCAGTTTAGTGAAAGGAAAGAATCATAATATAGGCCAATTTCTGATTGTGTGAAGACTGTATAGGTGTTCTCAGAAAAACAGTAACTGTCACTGAGAGAGCAAAGTAAATTACTAGATATCCTTGGTGTGGCATCTTCATCTTTAAGATTGAAGTGTAAGTGTAACTGGCCATCCCTTGCAGATGGCCAGTTTAGAAATACCTGCCTCTTATAAAAGTAAAGTTAGAGAAAAAGGTACTTAAACACTTATAAGTGAAATTGATGTAGAAGAGTAAATAGTCGTGCACTTCATCTATTTTAGGTGAAGAGTCAATAAAAGGAAATTCAAACTAAGGCCTCTAACTTTGCTTTTCTTTTGATGGTTTTTATCTCTGCAGCATGATCGAGAGGGTTTGCTGAGCATGGCAAATGCAGGCCCCAATACAAACGGTTCTCAGTTCTTTATCACAACAGTTCCAACTCCTCATTTGGATGGGAAACATGTGATATTTGGTCAAGTCATTAAAGGACTAGGTGTGGCAAGGATGCTTGAAAATGTGGAAGTGAATGGCGAAAAACCTGCCAAAGTAAGTAAAAAGTTATAGTGGAATAAACAAGCCTGCTTAGTTACTGTGTCAAGGAAATGCAAGTTACAGGGTCAGATGACTGTTAGTTAGAAAAGTAGGAAAGAAATTAAGATGTTTTTGCTGTAGAAGCCTGGATTGGCCACTTTTCTCAGAAATTCTTTTTAAAACAATGGCTAAGATTAGTTTAAAGGAAATACGCTTATTTTTCCTTCAAAACAGGTAGACCTGGCTTTCCTTGAATTGTCTAGTAGTCTTTTTGTCACTGCTAATACTACTCATGCACCAGGATTAACCGCTATGGTGGTCAATAAAGAGATTTGAATTCTTGTTTTAGCTTCAGTGTCATCTAATAAGTGGTCTTTGTAAGATTGCCTGAGTCTTCCCCTACAGTGAGGCTTCTGCGTCAGTCATAATTAACTGTAGTACACACCAGAAAGAAGATAGTGAGTTCACTGCTATTTAACTGGAAGTTTGGCATAGATCTTGTTACTGTCTTGACCTGTTTTTACAGCCTGTATAAATTGCTTCAGGTTGTATTATATTCTAAACGCATGTGAAGCAAAGTGACTATGAGAGATACACCGAGACTGCATAGGGATTAGCAATCTCGTTACTCATAGGAAGAATGCCGGCTAACAGTACATGACAGGAAGACTAGCCCCTCAGACAGCTTCATACACAGTGATGCAGTTCTCAACTCGTGTGTTCTTCACACTCCCAGACTGTAAAATACCGTGACTAGTGACAGTCATATTAGTTGGAATGTACATAAAGGGAATTACTGTAATTGAAGCAGATAGATGCACCCCTGCCAAGTCTGTGACAGTAGTAGTAGCAGCGTATGTGACTGGGCTGTGCAGCCTTTAAAGGTAGACTTAAAAATCTCTAAATATTCACTGCAGTTTAATATTTTTACAGCTGTGTGTTATTGCAGACTGTGGAGAATTGAAAGAAGGGGATGACTGGGGAATATTCCCCAGAGATGGATCTGGTGACAGTCATCCAGATTTCCCCGAGGATGCAGATATAGACCTCAAAGATGTGAGTATTAGAGATGAATAAACTTGAATTCCTTAAGTGAAGTAAAACATTTAGTTCTAAAAGCTTCATCAGCCTGTCATAATGATAGAACCTTAGTGTTGAGTCACATTATTTACTAACATCCAGCATATTTGTATTTTATACAGGTAGATAAAATTTTATTAATATCTGAAGACTTAAAAAACATTGGAAATACTTTTTTCAAATCTCAGAACTGGGAGATGGCTGTTAAAAAATATGCAAAGGTTTTAAGGTAATACAGCATTTTTAATAAATTACTTTTGAGAATGTATAAACTTAATTATTTTGAACTAAAACTCAAAATCACTCATATTTAGCAAGTTATTTGTATAATAAACAGCTATAATGAAAGAGTTACATTTCTTACCAGTGTGGTGCATACTTTAATCCCTGCACCAGAAAGGCACAAGCAGGTGGATCTTTGAGTTGGAGCCTACCCTGGTTTACAGAACTAGCTCCAGGACAGCTCTGGGCCTACACAGAGAAATCCTGTCTTGAAACAATAACCCCTCCCCCACAAAAGAGTTACATTTCTTTTGTTGCTCTGACTTATTTTGAACAATTTCAAAATCCAGAAAAGTTGAAGTGGAACTCAACTACATGTTTTTACCCTTTCATGGGTTTTTAACTTTTGTGTTTGCACAAAACTTGTAGATACCATATTTACTACTGAGTATATCAGCACATAATGTACTTGCTAAAGAGCAAAGGAAGTCTAAATTACTTACCTCAATAAGACAACACCCTCTCAAGAAGATAACATATGCAGCCTGTTTTAATTTTTTCCTGTTTATTTTTTCCTAGTTCAGAGTGCAAACTAAGATAAGTATTTGGCTGCAATGCTGCTTTTTTTTTTTTTTTTGGAGACAGGGTTTTAGCTCTGTCTGGCCTGGAACTCTATGTAGACGAGGCTGGCATCATACCCAAAGATCTGCCTTATTCTGTGTGTAGCCTCCTTCTTCCCCTGCCTATTGGGATTCACAGTGTGAGTCATCATGCCTGGCATCCCCAGTATCTTTTTATTTGATTTTTATTTACTCATGTAAATGATTTATAATGTATTCTGTGTGTGAATGCATGTGCCACAGCATTAGGGTAGAGATCAGAGGGCAAACTTATGGGGGTGGTTGTCCTATTGTGTGGGTGCTGGGATTGAGCTCAGGTTGTCAGGCTTATCTTTCTTTAGGCATCTTTTGGCCATGCATTTAAAAAATTGTGTGTGTGTGTGTGCGCGCGCGCGCTTCTACATGTGTGGAGACCAGAGTCTTTGGATGCCATCTTAGGGACATTGTGTAGCTCCTTTGAGACAGTCTTATTGACTAGAAACCTACCAGTTAGACTAGACTGGTTGGCAGTGAGCCTCAAGGATCCGTCCTTCAGCCCCCAGTGCTGCACCACTGTCCATCATTTGTGTGAGTTCGGGTGGGTGGTGGTGTCACACTGAGGTCCCCATGCTTGCCTTGCAAACCTGTGACCCTAGCTCCTTGGAATCTACAGTAAAAGGAAATAACTGACTCCCCAAAATGTCCTCTGACTTCCACACATAAACCATGGTATGTCTGGCACCTGTATCAAACCACAAATAATACTTTGAAACCAATACTACATAGTGCTTTGCTTCTTTCCATTGAATTCAGTTGTCTAATGTAGGAATACTGGTTCTAAACATAATTTATATTAGGAGGTATATAACATGAACCTGAGTTGTACATAATTAGATATGGGCGCCATTGTTAGTTCTTAACTGTGTGGGAAAGTTGATGTAAAAAATACCCTCTGGAGAATTAGGGCTAGGAGTGTAGCTCAGTGGCAGGAAGGTGTGTGTAGTTAGCAGGCTCACAAGCCCTGGGTTTAATTTCTTGCATCTGAAGAAAAAGTGTCATCAAAAACTTAGGACCATCATGCATCAGATGGACCTTTAATATTAGACATAATGCTGAAGAAGCAGTGTGCAGTTACATGTTGCCTTTATTAATATGTTCTCTAGATACGTGGACAGTTCAAAGGCTGTGATTGAGAAAGCAGATACAGCCAGACTACAACCTATAGCCTTAAGCTGTGTACTGAATATTGGTGCTTGTAAATTGAAGATGTCAAATTGGCAGGGAGCAATTGACAGTTGTTTGGAGGTAAGTCTGTGTGATGTTAAACCTTTGGAAGGAGTAGCAATAGTTAGAAAAAGACAATGGTCCTTAATGTATTTAATTGCCTAGGACCTAATGAGACTTGACAAAATGGGACTTAAGTCATCTTGTCTCTGAATAGTTTGGATTGTTAGCTCTTTCTGCTAATCCATTAATTTTGCATTTTAACTGTCACCTAATTTGTACTAAGTACTCTGCTTTCATTTCTCAAAGCATGTTTATCCGCTTATTTATTTGTATTTATGAGCTTGACATATATGAATACAGAGCCAGGAATGATTAAGAATGTAGGTATGAGGGTGGTGACCCACACCTGTAATCCCAGCACCGTAGAGGTAGGAAGGTGAGAAAGTCATAGCCATCCTTTGCTATATAAGAGAGACCCTGTCTCAAAAACTAAACTAAAGCATGTGTGTAGATATGCTTTCTTTCCTGCCTGTGCTGGGTTTTCTGCTTGGTTACAACTGAGGTATGTCCTTTGTACAGTCAGGGTATGTACTCAGACAAGGTCTTCCTGCTGGCCTTTAAATTGCTGGGATCAGACATGTTACATGCTGGGCTTGGTGTATTTTAATTTTATACTTGTGTGTGCATGTACAAGGGTCAGAAGACAGAACTGGAGTTAGTCCTCTCCTCCCACCTTTATGTGAATTCCAGAGATTGAGCCTAGGCTCAGGTGTGCATGCAAATGCGTTTACCCACTGTGGCATCTCACTGGCTGCTTTTATTTTTTTTTAAAGCCCGATCCTCAAAAAGCTTATGGATAGGACACAGTGGGCAGACAGTTCCTGTTTGGTGTTGAGATTGGTAACCACTGGAATACACAGAAAGATACTTTGTCCTAATTTGGGCCATCCAAGTATACTGAATGATAGTTTCAAAAAGTTCAGACTAAATATTTTGGTTTTGCACATTAAACTTAGAGCATGCGCCTGTGCTCAGCAAGAACTAAAGCAAGACCTGAGTGTGCAGCTTAGTGGTATAGTAGTCCACGGGTAATATTCACATGGCTGTCCTTTAGTCCCTGCCTTCCCATTACCCCTTGCTTAAGTAGATGGAATGGATGAAAACAAGAAATGTTACCATTTAGAACATGCAAAAGAGGAAAGTTTGCTTGTCCATTCTGGACCTCTTTACTTTTGTAAGGCAGGTAATACTCCCTCTTAAAAAATTCTCAGTATTGGCTGTCTTAAGAGCTATCGTGCAAACAAAATACACTGTTTAAAAACGTTTGTTTCAGGGGAGAGACCTGTTAAAAGTTGCTCATGTTTGTAGTGTATAATTGCCTTCTCAGGTCCTTGGATTCTGTGTTCTCAGATTATCTAACCACAGGTTGAATATTATTCTGTGATAAACATGTAGACTTTTATTGTCATCATTTCCTATAAATATAGCTGGACAAATAGTTACATGGCAATTGAGTGATTTATGTAATACTGGATTTTGGTTTTTAGGAGGTGTTGGACTGCCTTCAAACCAATGATTATATTAGAAGGCGACTGTATTTAAACTTTTATTTAAAATATTTTTTCTCAGCCCTCTCCTCCCTCCCCCCCCCTCCCCCCTCTCCCTTTCAAAGAAAAAAAAAAGATAAATATTTTTTTCTCTTAAATAGTCTGGGTCCACTTGAGCTAGAAACCAGTGCAGAGCGCCACACTGGAGACTCATAAAGAAACCCATCCTTCTTTCCACACCCACTCAGCACCCTCTACTGGTAAACTCCTGGCTGGCACAGGTGCTCTAGCTCCAGTGAGTTGGAGCCAGTTGATAACAGGTACTTTGAGATACAAATACTGATTTTATAACTTTTCCTATAGGCTCTTGAAATGGACCCATCAAATACCAAAGCACTATACCGCAAAGCACAAGGATGGCAAGGATTAAAAGAATATGATCAAGCATTGGTAAATTATTTTCTCATTGTTTTATAATAGATGAGCACCTTAAAAGTCTTAATGTCTAATGTTTCTTAAATTCTCTCTGCCCCCATTAAAGGCTGATCTTAAGAAGGCGCAGGAGATAGCCCCAGGAGATAAAGGTAAATTGGCAGGTTTTGTCCTTCAAAAATAGGTCCTCATGAGCCAATGTACATATAATCTTGACATATTTATTTGTTCAGATCTTGCAGAGTGCCACTTACTGGGCCAGGTCCTGATTATATAGTAAACAGCCAAGTATTCAAGGTTCCTACCCTGTGCAGAGGCTACATTCTAATTCTGCTCAAGAATGTATTACTAGCTTTTTAATATGGTACTGCTTCTGTGACCCTTTCTGTTGAGATGAGGTTCTATTACATCAGTGCTAGTCAAAAGTTCAACAGTAAGAAATAAAGCATTCATTGTAATTTTAAAGCTTGGGACATTCCTTCCCTAAGCTGAATGTGGCTGTGACCATGACCAAGCATTGTGTGTATTGGGTATGTTGCAGAGTAGCTGTGATAGGAATGAACTGCTCTAAGGTAAAGCAGATGAAGAGTAACACGAGGTCTAATATTACTGCTAAAAATATAGCTATGGCAGGGGTAGTTGGGTCATGACCAAACTATGTTAGTCGTTTTTCTAGTTTTTTAGATGCTGTGAAAATTAATTGATTGCCTTTTCTCCCCTGCAGCTATCCAGGCAGAGTTGCTTAAAGTCAAACAAATGATAAAGGCACAGAAAGATAAAGAGAAGGCGGTGTATGCAAAAATGTTTGCTTAAAAAGAATTAAACTTTGCTTAAATATTATACATTGATTATATAAAGATAACGTAAGTTACTGTCTACATATGATCCCTGATATGTTTCTCTTGATTTTTTGTCATCATTGTTTACGTAGAAGTACTGACATAGGTTTCTTCTTAATAAAGTGTTACAACATGCAATTAATCTCATTTTAAAATCTTTCTGTCCCCATTTTCACCAAGAATGGTATCTGGCCAATGTTTGAACTAAATTTAAAGTCTTACTAAGTTTCAGGCTTTGTGAATGATTTGGCCCAGTGGTTCTCATTGGAAAACAACAGATACATACATTACAATTCCTAACAGTAGCAAAATTATAGTTATGAAGTAGCAATACAAATAATTTCATAGTTGGGGGTCACCAGAACATGAGGAACTGTATTAAAGTGTGGCAGCATTTAGGAAGGTTGAGAACTACTACTCTAGTCTGTCACAACTATGTGTATAGCCAGTGGACATAGTTATGTTTCAATAAAACTATTCGTGTTTAGTTCTGGATGTCCTTCCCTGGTCTAGAATACACATTTGGTTTTATACTTGAAGATTTGTGTTTAGCAAGACAAATGCACTCTGAAGGCCAATAGTACAAGTTCCTGTTGGTACTGAAGCTTCTGAAGGACTTGGGAAGTGAGATGCTACATCATTTACTTGTAAAGTTTTATTTAGGAGAAATAGTTCATGATTTTATGGGACAACTTTAGATATGAAGTTTACTTCAATAATGTTTAAGGACACTTGTTCAGAAGTTATCTAAACATTTAAAAAGTTAGCTTGGCATACATTTACAGTTTTATCAAATGTGCCAGTAATTGAAGGCGCTTGTGTTTTACATGCCATTATAAGCAGGTCCTCCTCCACCTTCTGGCACCACCCAGTTAATATTCTGACTCGGGTCTTTGATATCACATGTTTTACAGTGCACACAGTTCTGAGCATTTATCTGTAATCGAAATCCATCACCTTGTTCCAAAGGAACAAATTCATAAACCCCTGTAAAATAAAAATAAATACATGAAGATATATTAACAAAAGGTAACAAAAAAGTAAATAATTCAAAAGTGAGTCGAAATTAAAATCTTAGAACAACTTCAGAAGCCTTTGAGGCTTTCATGTTTACCCCCAGAGACTATCTGGTCTTGGTGTATGTTGTTGTTATTAGTATGCTAATAAACTTAGTACTTCTACATAGTAGAAACACAGTAGTATTGTCTGGGTTAGTCTAACAAGAGTTAAACAAACAAATTAGCTCCAGTCCTTTCCTCTGAGAGTTTATAGTACAGTGTAACTTTTAAAAGTCAAGACAAGGCCTTATTCTTGAATAGTTACCTTCTAATTTCACTTGAGCATACAGTAATTTTCATATATCCCAATTCTACTGTATTATTTAGATCTGTTTCTCATTAATATTAACTGAAAGCTCTTAGCACTTAAGGGATTCAGTATTTGATGAATTTAAAGTTTAGTGTCACTGAATTTAGTGTGGCCGTCATGCATATACATGTACATACAAACTGTCATTTCAGAAACAGCTTCTTAAAACTACCCAAGAACAGGTATTTGTATTTGTTTTCTATAATCCTTTTGTCTAAGGGTAGACATGAAGGCTGTTTGGAGATCACCCAAACTAGGCCTAATCAAAATCCCTACTATTTTGTCACTGCTAGTCAGAACATTTAGGACATGAGTTTCCTTAAGGATGCTGAACATAGAAGTATTTGTTTTTTAAATAAACAACAGTCTCCTTGCAATGGAAGGGGAACATCTTCAAATGGAAATTTGTTAATGTTTAGGAACAGAAGGGAATGGTTACTGACCTGCAGGGCAGAATCGCTGTTCAGGCCCATCATATATTGACAGATTTCTATTAACAGGTATGCTGTCATCCTTTAAGGTTAAATGTGCTGGCTGATCATGTTCATGATTAGTGCCACTCAGAGCCACAGATGATAAGAGGTCAAAACTGATCTGTCCATCAGGTTTTGGATACTCAATGGGTGTGCAATCCTTAGCTGGTTTGAGCTGAGCAGAGTCTGAACCTTAAGCAGTTTTGAGGAAGATGTTTAATAAAGTAGCATAATTTTTTAAAAAAGATTTATTTATTTATTACATATACAGTGTTCTGAATGTATGCCCGCACGACAGAAGAGGGCACCAGATCTCATTACAGGTGGTTGTGAGCCACCATGTGGTTGCTGGGAATTAAACTCAGGACCTCTGGAAGAGCAGCCTGTGCTCTTAACCTCTGAGGAGCCATCTCTCCAGCCCCAAAGTAGCATAATTTTCCAGTACTTTTTTTTTTTTTTGGTGCTGGAGATTCAGCAAGATGCATACTAATAGGCTCTATCACTGAACTTCACTCTCAGTCCATCAATGAAGTAATCTTGTTACTTAGTTCAGACTGGCCTTGAACTTACCTTCTTGCTTTTATCTCCCTTTGCCTGGCCTCAAGTAGTATATTAGAAAAACTTGGAGCTACCATCATACCGAAGAATAGAGCTCAGTCTAGGGTAGTTTACCTTTTAAAGATACTGAATTTCAGATGGGTGTGGTAATGCATATTTGTAATCTCAGTGCTTAGGAGGTAGAGGCAGGAGAAACAGTTTAATGTCAGCCCTTTGACTACAAAGCAGATTTGATCCTGTCGCAAAATACAGACCCCACCCCCTAAAATAAACACCTACACCCAGACAACCATATTTACCAAAACAAAGCAAATTTAAAATAGGAGAGTAGAGATAAAGCTTAGCAAAAGCCTCAGGTCCAACCCTAACACTACCAAAATACTAAAAAATTACATTTGCTAGTAATGAACATACCCCATACATACATTTTTCTTCCATATAAAGGTGCTTAAGATAAACACTGGTATTAAGTATATTTGAATTACCTTTATGTTTTAAAGTCCATGGCTCCATTCCTCTCAATATCCAGTAAAATATTCCAGTGTAAATCATCCCTCCATATACTCCCAGTATCCCGTGGCAGGATGGCCTTATATTCCTAACAGCATGTAGCTCTTTCCATACCCAAGATTTCTTCAAATTATCCTCATACTCAGTTACATGGAGTCCTTTTATGAAAAAGAAATATTAAGTGAAACACAGAGGGTGAGCTAATTTGTAGAAACGTGGTTATGTGGATCCACGCAGAATCACACAAATGTTGGCGTCTTCCAATAAGATAATCTCTATATTTAATGGTAGGAAGCATTTGATCTGCCTTCCTTTGGATGGCACTGAGGCTTTGTGCATGGTAGGTGAGTATCCTACCTTTGGGGCATAAATCTTAGACCTTAATGTTTACGTTGGAAGCATAACAAATTAGCTTGAAAAGGGAAACTTAATACAAGTTCAGGCTATTTACAAACACAATTTTTTTAAAAATATAACATCATCTCTGAAACATCTATTTTAAGTGGAATTGTGTCCCTGCAACAATATATTTTGCATTTCCAATGGCATCAGCCCTAGTGACTGACTGACTTTATAACAGGATGGCTGCAGACAATTGGGGTCTTCTGGAATAGAGGGGGGTCTATGAGATGTGCCCACTTAAGAGACAGACAGATGATGGGGAGGTGAAGAAAGGCAGAGGATGGAGTAGAGAATGCATAAATCAAGCTGGGATGGATAGGGGGAAATAGAAATTTCGGAGAGCATGGTCTATTAACACTTTGATTTTGAACTTCCTGCTGGCAAAATTTGTAAAAAAAAAAAAAAAAAAAAACTTGTTTAAAGTCATCTAGTTTGTAGAATTTTGTTAACTCACAACTAAGAAATCTTCAGGTGTGGATGCTAGGGATTGAACCTAGTGGCACTGCATCTGGTGAGGTGCCTTTCATCTTTAAGGGGGAACAACTGACTTTTTTTTTTTTTTTTGGTCTTTTGAGACAGGGTTTCCCTGTGTAGCCCTGGCTGACCTGGACTTGGCTCTATAGACCAGGCTGGCTTCAAACTCACAGAGATCCGGCTGCCTCTGCCTCCTGAGTGCTGGGATTAAAGGCGTGCACTACCACCCAGCTACAACTAACTGACTTACACAAACTACAAAGTGGTTATACTCTTTAGTTAATGGTTTTCTGTTACAGTTCTCAAGGGATTTTATTCCTTGTTATAATAGTAAATTCCAGTATATGATCCTATACAATATAGTACTAAATTATCTGGTACTGTGTATACAACAGCTAGAGTAGGGCCGCTGGTTCTACAAGGAACAGCACTTGACTAAAAATTAGGAGGAAGTTCTACCTAACTTGCATTCCATCTTGCCTGCCCTGCCTGCCCTGCCTGCCCTGCCTAAAGTATTCTCTTGGCTTTTATTGGTTTTCTTACTGCTTACCAAACCCATGTGCTAGACCTTTATTCTTAGATACTTGAAGGCATAACCAAGTTGCACTTACTGTTTTGTTTTGTTTTAGGGCTAGGAACCAATCAAACCCAGGGTCTGTTCATGCTAGGCACTCCTTCAACCACTGAGCTATGCCCTAAGTCCCTTCATTGCTAATTCTTAGTAAAGGAACATTGGTTATCTGTGATTTCAAGGTCTAGGTTTATTTATGAAGTATCTGTTGAGTTGCACCTATATCCAAGTGTTTAGAACTGGAAATGAACAAAGTCTTTGCTAGAGTTTTTGGCAGGAGACAGTAGATAAAAATTTTCTTTTGGACAGTAGATAAATTAAGCCAAATATATAGTGTGTCAAATAAAAATGATGGCACATGGTAATAAACAGTTCAAGGGGTAGGAGGGGTATGCGTATTCCAACTGGTAAGATTTAGAGGCCACCTGAGAGTGCTATCTGAACAGAGACAAAAACTACAAGATAGAGCATGCCTGGCATGTTCAGGAGCTGGAGACCAGTGGCCGCAATGCAGGGTTGTAGAAACAGTCAACAGATGGGGAGATAGCTCAGTAGTAGAGTCCTAGGTTCCATGCCCAGTACTGGCAAGAAAAACAGAATAGACAACTAACAACAAACCCCCAAACTGGGGATCATGGAGTTGCGGTTCCATTGGGAACACTTCTGTGATTACAGAGTTCCTTGGGGGGTTTCTTTTGAGAGCACTAAGATGGCTCAGCTAGGAAACGCACTTGCCAAGCAAGCATGAGGACCTGAGTTCAGTTCCTGGAAGTGCATAAATG